TAACCCATGACTTAGAAAATTTCAGAAAGATTTAAAATTTACCTAAAATTCTAAGTCAAAAAAAAAAAATAAAACACACGACACCCTTGGCTCCCGACACTGGAAAACAAATATAAAAGAAATACAAATCAATGTGAAATGCAATATACATTGAGTCTTCAAGGGAATTAATTGTTCGCTAGTAGGTAGGAATCAAGCCTTTTCCTCCTAACTCCTGACTTGCACACCTAAATCTCGCACCAAAAGCTTCTTACAGCAATGAGATGGGAAGAAATGAATTGAAACCCCCTCCTATTTATAACATTGAACTCGAATTATTAGCGGGCCCCACCAGCCTAGGATCCTCTTGCTACAAAACAGGGAAGGCACACCTGTGGGCCCCACCAGCCTAGGATCCCTTGCTAAAAGACAGGGAAGGTACACATGCGAGCCCCACCATCTTAGAATCCTAAGATGCTGTTTCGAGGCTTTAGCCTTGGATTCATATTCGAGTATTTACCAATAAGTGAAATACGAGCGTAAATACACGCTGATACAGTTGGTAATTATGTTAAAAAAAGGGGAGGGGGTAAAAGTAAAAGTAAAAAAAAAAAATTTATCTTTCCTACAAAATGCTTTTGTGATCATCGTAAACACATAGGAATCCCCGCACATCCTCGATAATTTTCCGATTGAACCTTTTGTGATAAAAAATATACGTCACATTGCAATTCACGGGTGCTCTAAGTGGTGTGCGCGCCAGCTGTTAAAGTTAGGCGGTTCGTACATCCCGTGAATATATATCTTCAAAAAGAGACAAAATAGCGCACTCTTATGTGTCATGGGTTGTACGACCCTTTATTAAAGTAGGCACATGTAACACCCCAGGCATCCATAGTGAAATGATTCGTCTGACATTCTGATCGAACTCCATTCCAGTTGCCTTGCTCGGACCTGAAATTTTAAACCACATATAATGAGCTTACAAAGCCCAGCAGGTCACCAAAGCCTACAACTGAAATCAAAGCACGGCGATGCTATCAATATGCATGTCAGTCAATCAAATCCATAACAGTCAATGGTCA